TAAAATGGTGATCTAAGTATGTTATGTGTTAGAAATATATGTAAAATACCTCATTTTAAACAATATAAATTCATTTCATTGTACTTCATTCACTTTTCTTCTGAGCCATATTTAAATCTGAACACATTTACAGACACATTTCTGATTCACTGTAAAAAAAAAAAAAAAAAAAATTCATCTGGAAGAAATTTCTATTCTTTTTGTCAATTTGGCCCACGCAGCAGTTAGACGAAGCAGTCGCAGGAGAGGTATAATGAATTGGAAATCCATCATCTACCGTATAAAAACACTATAAATTGGCAGCAGTGGTTTAACTCAATAAAAGTCTAACCATTAAATGAACACGGCACCAAAGCATTGTGGGATATGCGGTTTACGGGGGTCAGACCGCGAAAGGAAAGAGCCGATTCAGACTATTATCTAATGACCATCTCTCCTCGGAGTAAATCCTTGCTGGATCCAAGAGCTGACACAGACCCGGGCAGTTTCCTCCTTTCCCCTTTCATCTCCGACCAATTACTGACACAGTTGAGCCAAAATGGCCGCCCGTGGGTTAAACCAGGGTTAGAGGGACAAGAGGAGAGAAGGAGGAGAGCTTTTTAAAGAAAGGAGCAGCTCATATTCAGTATTTCTGTGGTTAGGACAATAAAACGTGTTATTTCTTTTATTTTAAATGTGCATTGTGTAACTTTTCTGGTGGAGGATCCGTCAGATGTGTTTCTCCTTGAAGATGTTTCTATTCTTTTCTATCGCCATGGAGTCCAGATCACATTACAGGTCAGATCTGTGGAGAGGCGTCCCCACTCACAGTCAGAATGTCTGTTTTTCTAGATATTTTTGAGCTATAAAACCACCTGTAATAAAATAAGTGTAAGGTAGAGATCTTTAATGTCATACTGTGGAACATTCCAGGCAGAGCAATGACATATCCAATTAAAAAGTTACACAATGCACCTTTAAGAATGCCTTACCAACATAACACTAAGACTAAAAACATAATTAAAGACAAATATTACATTATTTTCTGACCTATGTTCTAATGTAGTTTCCTCATCACAAACAGACCTGGAGTTGTGTTTTGTTTCATTCCCACATGTTAAACACACAAACTCTGCACATTGAGGCTGAGTTCTTCTCTCAGACAAACTTCTCTCTCCACCTTGTGATGTCATGTGGTAATACAGGAAGTGCTTCAGTGTGATTAAACTCCATACACCTTCACTAGAATCATGCGGATCATTGGAATTGCCAAACTCTACTGAACTAAAGGTGAAAGGAGCTGTTAACTTGAAAACTACCAGAATTTTGAGCTTTGGAGACAAAACACAACTCCAGGTTTGTTTTTGACGAGGTAACAACATTCTAAAATGACTAAAAGCTCACAAGAGTCCATTTTGTGTAATGTAGGACTTTTAAAACAAAGGTTCGATCAGGATTACATTAGATCTAAACAAGGACTAAACAAGGTCTAAACCAGAATCAAACCAGGACTATAGCCACGCAGGACTAAATAAGGACTAAGCCATGACTAAACTAGTGGCTAAACTCATTCTAAAGCTACCTCCAGGAGAAACATTAACCACTCTGCCACAAACCTGCGCTGTATTTACAGTTGAAATAAAGCATGACTCAGCAGATTTTCAGCTGTAAACACGAGTCAGCACAAATGGAAATGAGGGAACGCCACACGAGGAGAACGCTAATTAAGAGACAATTATGAAACATGCTTTAATAGGACCATTAAACCAGGACTAAACCAGGACTAAACCAGGACTAAACCAGGACTAAACCTGGACTAAACCTGGACTAAACCAGGACTAAACCAGGACTAAACTAGGACTAAACCAGGACTAAACCAGGACTAAACTAGGACTAAACCAGGACTAAAACAGGACTAAACTAGGACTAAACCAGGACTAAACCAGACTAAACAGGACTAAACAAACTAAACAGGACTAAACAGGACTAAACCAGGACTAAATCAGGACTAAACTACGACTAAACCAGGACTAAATCAGGACTAAACTACGACTAAACCAGGACTAAACTAGGACAAAACCAGGACTAAATCAGGACTAAACTAGGACTAAACCAGGACTAAATCAGGACTAAACCAGGACTAAACCAGGACTAAACCAGGACTAAATCAGGATTAAACCTGGGCTAAACCTGGACTAAACCAGGAATAAAATAGGGCTAATCCATGACTAGAGAAGACCTAAACCAGGACTAAACCAGGATTAAACAAGAACTGAACCCAGACTAAATCAGGGCTAAACCAGGACTAAACTGGAACTAAACCAGGACTAAACCAGGGCTAAACAAACACCATATCTGGACTAAACAAGAACTAAATCTGGACTTAACCTAAGTCTTAACCAGGACTAAATTGTGATTTAAACCAGGATTAAACCAAGACTGAGATGATACTAAATCAGGACTAAACTATAACTAAACCAGGATTAGGTCCAAATCAGAACTGAACTCTGTTTTCCAGACTTGTGCTTTAATATACTGGCTAAACTAAGACTAAAACAGATCTTTGTAACACTGCAAAAACACTGCACTTGCAAAATAAATAACTCTGTTTTAAAGTAATATTTTCTTACATAAGTACTACAAGTAACATCAGCACCTCTAAGGTAACTTGAGCATAGTTGGATTTTCATATTTGGCAGCTGAAAACACTGCTTCACAAACCCTTTTTATCAGCAGACTAAAACCACAAATAAACCACGACAAAACCAGGACTAAACTAAGACTAAAACCAGAATTAAAACAACACCAAAACTAAACTAAGACTAAAATCAGGATTAACCAGGAAAAAAACAGGACTAAACCAGAATTAAATCAAGACTAAAACCAGGACAAAGCCAACACTTAAACCAAGACTAAAACCAGAACTAAACCTAGACTAAAAAAAAGAGACTAAACTGAGACTAAGACCAGGACAAAACCAAGACTAAAACGGGACTGAAGCAGGACGTAAATGAGGAAAAAGCACTGGTCCATGTCTTACTGTCACTGTAGCCCTATGAGACATGTGGTACATGCAGTTTTACACTGCAGCATCTTTGGTCCAATTAGAGTCTGGTCCAGTCTGTCCTGAGGTCTGCCTCAGGTCCAGACTAGAGCCTTGAGCGAGTCTCAAACACACGTCCCTCTGGCACACGGAGAAAGAGACCGTGTCCTCCACGTACCCACAGATGTTTTTTTTCCTGATTGTTTCTATAAGTGACAAGGTCCATTCTCCTGCCGTGTTTATCAAACCACACCACAACATCTGGAAGGGCATCTGACACACCACGACACCTCAGTCTAGCACTACAGGGATACAGGAGGATGGGAGAGAATCTGACATAGGGATATATGCCGATGGGAGGGCATCTGACGCACAAGAATACAGGAGCACACACAGGCATAAACTGAAGGGGGATGGGAGGGCATCTGATGCACAGTGATAAATATAAATCCAGAACTGAAGCACTGGTCTTGAAACTCACATTTCAAATTCATAATACAAGTTCACTTAATTAAATAAGATGTTTAAAAAATAAATAAATAATAATAATAATAATAATAATAATAATAATAATAATAATAACAATACTTTGTTTCTTTGTTACTTTGTGTTCTGCCTGCATGTCTATGGTGGAATGGTGAGTGGGATTGACAGAAAAACTGTTGGCTAAAGCTGCCCAGCTTGTGACATGTGATGTTATTTGTTACTTGTTTAACAGCACAAATACAAAGCACAGACTCAAGTCTAACTTGAGTAACAGAGCTTCAGTCAGAGAAGTGCCTACAGTTAGCATCACATCCCAGGGAATGTTGATGACATCAACTGAGGTTTAAGTATCAAATGACAGTAAAATTACACACAAAAGTGCAGAAATGTACCTTAATAAACTTTAATTTACGATATTATTTCATTTTCAGTTTTAATCAAATCTTTTTGTTGCATTTTTACTGTAAACGACAAACTGCATAAATTGAATATTTGCAAACAAATTTTGCATAATTTTGCTTCAAAACAATCTGATCTGTATCTGTATTTCTCTGCCCACCTCGGAGAGCACTCGTGGTGATCACAAGAAAAAAATTGGTCCAGAGTTTTTCATTCAGTTAAATGAGAGGTTAATTGGTGACAACTAGATCTCTTAATATAACCAGGATAACCAGGTCTTTAGAAATCCCAAGTGATTTAAAATGGGGGAGACCGAGGATGGCTCTAACAGTTTTTTACTTGAGCAGGTATAACTGATAATATATTAGTTGTTCTGAATCAGAGTTAACTTAGAAAATGTGACAACTTCTGTTAATTTAATTAAACCTAACCAACCGATAACGGTGCGTAAAACGACCCGTTGCGCTCGACTAAACTCTGTTATAGACTCAAATCCAAGAGGTAAAATGCCTTCACAAATAGTCCTTTTAAAGGCTCGAGTCTGTAATTTAGCCTATCTAAAGGTTGAATCACTATTGACTAGAATCCAATTATAAAAACAGGATTTAGCCAATAGCAGCCACAGAATAGGTAAGTCATGTTATTGTAGGTGATTTTTTTGTTTCGTTTTGACCACAGAAATGCGTCAAAACGATTCTGCAAATCATCTAAATATTAAATCATTATTGTTGTCTGCACGCTAGCAAGTTTCTCACAGATGTTCAGTTCGTAGGAAACAGTTGCAAGTTACATTTTTAAGTTGATAAATTATAGGCGACTGCAAAGAAAGTGTTGCCGCTATGCACTTGTCTCATAAATCACAAAGTTTTCCATTGTCTTACACCACTTCAAAACCAAACCTGTAGTAGTCTTCTCAGATGAAAGCTGTTTATCCAAGGCAAGATTTTAGTCCAAGGAAAATAAACATTAAATTGCTTCCAAAATCCCCCAAAATAAACGGGTACATCCGCGTGAAATCTCGTGCGTAAAAAGCTTATTGCGGACGTTAAATCCTCGTTAAATCCGTCCGGTTTTCGTCTCCAAACAAACTCACCGCTGGACCTCCTCACGATGTTCTCCAGGAAGGTGTTCTGCGGCGCCACCAGCCCGCGTTTCCCGCCGGGCATCGTGCTTCTGAGGCCGGCTGCTGAGGCTGAGGCTGCTCGCTGTGCGGAGACCCAGAGCGCATGGTACCGCGAGCTCCAGCGGCTGCACGCGACGCACTGACGGAGAGGCGCGACAGCAGAGGAGAGCAGAGAGGAGGGAGAGAGGGAGGGGAGAAAAGCACTGTAGATGGAAAGGAGGGAGGGAGAGAAAGAGATGGGAAGAGAGCAGAGGTAGAGGTAGGGAGAGAGAGGAATACAGAGGGAGGGAAAGAGGAGGGAGTGAGAGATAGGAGGAGAGAGGGAGGGAGCAAAAGGAAAAGCAGGGAGGGAGAAGAAACAAACAGGTGCATGTGAGTAGATGCACTGTAAAATCTAATAAGTTAGTCTTACTTGAAAAAGTCCCTGCTTAAACTGCTGCCCTTGCAACCCGGGCCCAGATAAATGGGAGAAAATGGATGGATGGATGGAGGACTACACCAGGTCTAAACCAAATCTAATACATGGACCAAACCAGGACTAAGTCTAAACAAAATCTTTAAGTAAGTAAATGGTCCCTTTTTTCTATAGCACTTTTCCACCTTCAAGGCATTCAAAGCACTTTACAACAAGGAACCACTCACACATTCATTCATACACCAGTGTATGCAGACACTGTGGGCAAGGTGGGTTAAGTGTCTTGCCCAAGGACACAACGACAGCATTCATCTGTGGGAGCTGGAATCACATCAGCCAACCTGTGGGTCAATGGATCTGACCACCTGTGATGTTTATGTCGAGAACTGGATTCAAACCACCAACCTTCAGATCAGTGGGCGAATGCTCTACCACCTGAGCTACTGCCACCAAGTAGAAGCAAACTGAAGCCTGTAAATGAATGATACTGGATTCCAGCATTAGGAATGAGGTTATGTAAATGAATATGAGCTTTAGTCCTGGGTCTGTTCATTTTCTCATGGTCTTGTCCTGTTTAGTATGTGGTGTTGGTTTGGCTCTCTCGTGCAACATACCTCGATCCACAGGTCTCGAAAAGTAAACAGTGGCCATAACAAAAGACTGAAAAAATCCACTGTTTAAACATTACATTTTTGTTCCTAATCTTAACCTAATCTGAATAGCAACACACGCTGACAAACTACATCTAATACTCCCTTGTAAAAGTAGGTCTATGTGTTGAAAGTTAAATAAGGGTCCAGTCAAGCAGAAGTAAACAACAAGGCCAAAAAAATCAAGTTAATGCATCTGATATAAAAATGTATTGAACAGATACATATGTACTCTAGTTTATGAAACTGTTGACCTTTTTTCTGTACCATTTTTGGTTCTAAAGTTCCATACGTTTTAAACAGACCATGTATGAAACATGGAACAAAAATTATTTCCCAAATTTCAAAGACCTGCAAATCATGTCAATAAATGGATGTATTTCATCATATCTTGTGTTATTCCATCTTTGAACTGTTGATGAAGGTAAATGATTTTTTTTTTTAAATGTATTTAAAATGATAAAAATTTGCTTGGAAGGACTGACATATTTTATAGAAATAGTTTCCTTTCATTTTGAAGTAATATTAAAGTATTCGGAAGAAAAAAATCCTGCACCTTCTACTTGTTTGCACAGTTTTCCCTCCGTTACTTTTCCCTCCGTTACCATGACCTTTCTTCATAAAAAATCTCATGAGTCAAAAAGTAAGAGGTTTTTCAACCTAATCTTGTACCATATGGTAGAAAACTATATGAAGCAAATATTCAAACCAGTTTGTTAAGGATATGGAAGTGAGAACCAAGAGTTATCACTGTTTGGATTTATTGCCCAAAAAGTGCTGCATATTTCATTCCCTCCGTTACCGACATGAGTTTTTAAATTTTTTGTCAACAACTTGAAAGAATATCACAGGTTTAACTTGACCCTGTTGGAGTGTAACTCTTTCCTACATTCTGATACTTTACTTATTTCAATAGTCCCTCTAGTTTCTGAATAAGAGACATTTGAATGTCAAAAATCTGCCCCTGTTTCCCTCCGTTACCACTTGACCGAACCCATAAATGTTTTTGTGTTTAACTAAATTAATTACCATGTAGAGTAGATACAACACAAAGCTAATAATTTATTTCAAATTAGAAATGATTGATTGATCAGTGATAAAATGTCTTTGAAAGGGTGTTTATCACCTTTAATGACCTTTAATAAACTTTTAAAAGGCAAGATGTTGGTGCGTGGACAGACTGTAGCAGAGTCACAGCACACACATAATTCAAAATCATAATAGAATCTTTTGAATGGGAAAAAGCTCTCACTGCTCACAAAATCCTTGAAATCTGGAAAAAATTACCCAGCCACAGATTGGGTGCCACTGTCTGTCAAACTGCCACAGGGCGAATGCGGCACAGATGTTTACTTACACTAATAGATAATAATAATAATAATAATAATAATAATAATAATAATAATAATATAATAATAATAATAATAATAATAATTACACTGACTGTGAGAAATGACTAGAGAAATTTGTGGTGGAGTATAGACTTGTCCTACCAATCCATTAGTCGAATAAAAAGGGAGCTATTCCTTATCTCTTCATATCTGACCCAAACTGTATTCACAAGACTGCACCAAGTCTTAGGAAACAATGTGTTTATAAAAAGACAGATTAAATCTTTGAATCATGAGTTTAATCTGACTTTTTACAGTTAAATACCAAAACTTCAGCTCACTCCTTATTGTCTAAATGAAATAACTAGTCGACTAATATACATTTTGGTTGACTGAGACTAAAGGCCTACAGCCCTACACGTCTATAGCACCGTCTGGTAAAAGTACAGAGTCACTTGGAGCTGTCTCTGGGCTCTATTATTTTGTGTCTATGGTAAATGCCAGTGTTTATTTGCCCCTGCGCTCTGCCCCAGGAGACCCCTCTGATCCAGGCCTAATGGCACCCAAGGGAGTCACACCCAACGGGACCCACCTGAATTATTCACAAACACTCACTGGTATTTAGACTGTATAAAACCTGATTTAGACCTGGTTTGGATCTTGTTTAGACCTGGTTTGTTTAGACCTGGTTTAGACCTTGGTTTAAATCTTGGTTTAGACCTTGGTTTAGATCTGGTTTAGTTCTGCTTTAGAGCTTGGCTTTACTCCTGCCACAGATCTGCTGATTCTTCCTGATAAGTCCTCTTGTGAAACTGCACTGAGACCTTTGACTGAGACACAAAGGCCACTGAGACACACACTGTAAATGTTACTGCAGTAAAACTTGACTTTCCCTCTGAATCAATAAAGTCTCTCTCTCTTGGTTTCTTCTCTGGTTTACTGGTTTAGACTTGGTTTAGACTTGGTTTAGACTTGGTTTAGACTTGGTTTAGACTTGGTTTAGACTTGGTTTAGACTTGGGTTTTCTTCTCTTTCATTTTGGAGGTATTTTCATAACTTAATCATTTATAGTTTCTAGACCCAATCATAACCTCATATCTATTTATCAGGCAAATAATGACTCCTCCTTTTGCTCCATGTGTTAAGTCACTCCCCCTTCAGAGCACTATCACAACACATGAGTTGCACACTAAAGAAACTGCTGTCATGTGTGAAGCAACAGAATGAGAAGGTCTTGCTTGAGATGAGAGATCAGCAAGAGCTTCACCAGCTGACCTGTACAGCAGAGACATTGGGATGTGACTCCGGTTGTGCAGGTGAGATGTGAAGTAGTGTATATATATATATATATACATATATATACACACACACACACACACACACACATATATATATATATATATATATATATATATATATATATATATATATATATATATAATATATATATATTATATATATATATATATACATAAAAATAAAGTCTTAAAAGAGATGCTAATCAGAATTACCTACAGCAGCGTTAATGTAAAATCAACAGGTAAAATATCTCTTTTGTCCCATGTCCCTCGTCACATAATCTTATTCTAGAATCTGAAAACCACCAATTAATACTTTGCTGATCTCACCAGTATTCCCTGGGGATGTCTTACTCAAGATAGACTTTAAGATGAGCGTTGTTTTAACATAATCTGACCATAAAGAGATGTTTTTGCTGGAACTACAACAGATGAGATGATTTGTGCTGTTAAACAAGTCTCTCACATGTGAAATTACACAAACTAGTTACCATTAGCCAACACCTAAACAGGATCGTGTTGATCACAGTGTCTGAAATGTGTTATTTAAATCTATTTTGTATGTGTACATTGTGTCACCATGGTAACATCTGAAGCATTCCACTCTAGAGATACATGGAGAACACCCCCAGCGTGATGCAATGTATTAATAAGGCTGAAAAAAGTTCATATAGACCTCAACAGTTAAGAGTCTGAATATGTAAATCCAGCGTTAGAGCTGGAGTGGTCGCAGGTTTTACTGATCTGAGATTTTAATGGGAGAAAAAGGTCCAAGAAATGTCCAAAAAGCCCAAAGGAGATGGTGAAGGGTTAGTGGGTCCAGCACCATCTTCTTGTCTCTATGGAGATGTTATTATTGCTGTGCCTGTAATGTTACATAAGATGGCATTAAACTTATCTATATCCGTGGGGACAAGCAGGTCACCTTACAGCTCAAATCCCTGGATAGGCCCACTCACAGTAAGAATGCAAGTTTTTCAAGATGTTTTTGAGCAGTAAAATACCTGTAATTTAACAAATGTGTTTATGAACATTCCAGCCTTGCTTTAGCTTCAGAGATCTGATGGGATCATGCTTTGACAATCCATTATGGCCATATACCAGCTTGAAAAGTAATGTGGTTTGAATGTCACAACGTTTTAATACTATAGTAAAATAAATCATTAAACATCATTTGTCTTATGTGGATTACAGATATTAACCACAAACCTGGTCAAATCTGCATTAAAAGGTAAATTCTGATCTGTCCACCAGTTTTACAGAATGGGCAGAAATGAATGTTGTGACGTCAAAACCAACTACCTGATGGGTGTGGATGAATACATGCAGACTTTAGACTCTTATCTCAA